AGTAACTTGAGTCTTTGGCGGGAACAAGGGACTTTGTTTTTCCCTCTTTCGGCTTGGAGAAGGATGGGTGCTTAAGGTGCTTTATCTTAAGCAATAATTGACTTTTAATTTTCTCGCTTCTGACTTGGAAAAGAACGGGTGCCTAGTACCTTAGGCAACAAGAGACTTTGATTTTCCCAACGGGTGCCCAAGGTGCCTTAGGCAACAAGGGATCAGCCTTAAGAAGACATACTCCTAATATGCTTAATACATTTTTTCTCTTAAATGCTCATCCTCCTGAAGAAAGACTCAAAGTATGATTTTTTTTCTTACAATCAATTACTTAAGAAAAAAATTCTAGTTTTTTTTTTCATTAAATTGGTTTTCAAGATTATCATGATTTTTAAGCAAACTTTTCAAAATATCTATTTTTGAAAATCAAATCAAATATTTCAAAGAAGAAATTAATGTCATATTAACTTTGGGAAATGCATCCATCATGTTGTAGAAATCAAAAAATTTATCATGTTAAGAAAAAGACAAACCAATTCATTGAATAAAGTGTCTCATCACTATTTTTAATACTATATATATCTTGTCTTTTTCTTAACATGACAACAAAATGATTACTACAACATGGGGGATATAATTCCCATTAACTTTTTATTTTTCAAATCAAAAACTAAATCTTAAAAAAATAATTGGATTAAAAATAAAAAATTTAAATCTTTTTTCTTTAGTTTTTAGAACTTTAAATATTCTAACTCAAGATATGATCATGATTCACCTCATCCAACCATTGAAATCTAAGATTTTATCTTGCAACTTCGATCTTCACGATTTCATAACAATTGTGTTGCATTCTCAATTATAATTCATTACAAATTAAGTATTGCAACAACTTTTTAAAAATTAATCAAACTGTTAGATAATTTGGTTTCACTTGTTTATTGTCATCAAAATTAGACAAAGTGTGGGATCCAATATAATTAACATTTTTTTTGTCATTTAGTTATTATTTTGAGCATGATCATGGTAATTTGTATTTTGTAGAGATGGCAAAGATTCAAAAGAATACGGAGGTGTTTGGTAGAGGAGAATTTTTTTTTATTCGAGAATCACGATTATCAGGAATGTGATAGAAAAATAAGATTTTTGGTAAGGTGACCAAAAAATTATTTGGTGGGCCCAAATTTTACTGAAAATATTGGATGAAATTTACTGAGTCTATGTTTGGTTGATTATAAAATATTACTGGAAATTTGGTGTGATTAAAATTTGACTCGGAATATTACTAGAAATTTGATTATAAATATATCTCCACTTTGGTATTTTCTTCAACCACTTTGGTAGGGTTGTTTTTGTCATATTTTTCAAAGATGCAATGTCTTATCACCTTTTTCTTCATCCACTTTCCTAGCAATCCAACAATGTTACCCTCTAGGTGGTATTCTAAACAGTAATTTTTATCCAAGTTTTACGCATAAAATGGATTACCAGCTATCTCACTTTACTGGGTAAATTTTTTGAAAAATAATATCAAACATGGTCATCTTAAAAACTTACCCTCACTTTCCTGGGTATCTAAAAAAATTCCTACCAATTAGGATATTCCTCATCATTTTGGCCTGCTGAAGGTAAAGACGTTATGCATTTACGCTCATCACATAAGAGAGTTAACGAAGTTGTATATTGCTTAATAGATATATTTAATTGATTTAATAATATTAATTATTTCAAATAAGAGTAGAGGATGATTTAAAAAAAAAAATTTAAGTATAGGGTTTAAGAGGAAGGTTATACTTACAATCTTTTTTTTACAACCTCTTACAACCATATCTTAACACCATTGATTTCCGTCAATCAACGGTTATTATTTTCGCAAACTAAACTCATTAATTAATTATTAATTCACAATAAATGATAACCGTTGATTGGCGAAAATCAACGGTATTAAGATATGGTTATAAGAGGTTGTAAAAAAAAAAGGTTGTAAGTATAACCTTCCTTAAGGTTTAAATTATATTGTAGCTCAATTAAAAATAAGAGTAAGGGTGTGCATGAAAACTTTCCCGGAATCAATTTTTTTTAATTTCTGTTCATGGGAACATAAATCGATAGGAAATTCGTTTGATAAAATCAATTTATTTTTTTGTTCCCGGGATGAACCAGTTTAATTTTTGTGCTGGGGAACAGAAAAAAGAATCAGAAAATTTCTGTTTATTTGTTACCGGCACAAAATGAGAAACACTTATCTCTCTCAATCACTCTCCACCTCTACCACCATCACCACTACCACCATCATCCCGACACGACCACCGCCACCATCGTTGTCGCCGCTGTCGTCGTACCACTAATGTCGTCGTCACCACTGCCCACCACTATGATGCCACTGCCACCATCACCATCGCTGTCACCACCATTACAACTATCACTGTCACCATCACCATCACCACCACCACCATCATCGCAACCATTGCCGTCACCGCCACCATCGCTATCACCACGCCACTGCCACCATCGCCACCACTACCACAACCACGACGCCACCGTTACCATCACCATTATTGTCACCAACCACCACTACCATTGCCACAGCCACTACCGTCACAGCCGCCGCCACCAACCACCACCACCATCGCCACCATTACACCACCCTGCCACTACCATCACCACGTCATTGCCACTACTACCACCACCACCACCACTGTCACCTACCGCCATCGCTGCAGCCACTGCCACCACCACCACCATAATGCCATCACAACCACCGCTACCATTATTGCCGCCACCAACCACATATGCCACCAACCACCATCACCGCCACCATTTCCACCGCCATCGTCGCAGTCACTACCGTCACAACCACCACCACTATCATCACCACGTCACTGCCACCACCACTACCGTACTGCCCCTGCCGTCACCACCACCACAACCACACCATATGGAAAGGAAAGTGATGATCTGAAATTTTTTTATATTTAATATGAATTATTTTTTATTATAGTATTTATTGTGTTACCAGACACAATTCTCATTCTCGGAATAAAAATAGAATATGTTACCAAAAATATTTTTTTTCTCAGAAACTGTTCCAAGGCACAGAAATAGAAAAGAATTGTTTCTTTTCAGAAACAATCATAGGGAATAGAATAGTTGTCATGCACACCCTAAAAGGTCCTCAACAAATATTACGAGACCTTATTTAATTTTTCAGGGGGAAAAATTGACATGTGATTCATCTGAAATTCAAAATAGACCTTATTAATTCTTTTGGGTTTTTAGGGACTAATATAGATCTTCTTTGAATTGTAGAGGACCACAATTTCTATTAGCTGAATCTATTTTGAATTTTAAAAGAATCACAAATTATTATTTTTTTAAAGAATTAAAATGAGCTCTATAATTTTTGTTGAAGACTCACAAAATATTTTACTTTAAAAATAACGAAAAAAGAGAGCAAGTCATCACGACATAACATTGTCTCACCGAATACACGTTGGTGTTGATGTTAATGTTACTAATACTGTCAATCTATCATCTTGTCAGACAAGGGACCCACACTTTCCTACCCCTTCGATCCCACTATTTTAGTTCCACCAACCTACAAAATATAAGGTAAGGGTTGGTGAGCACGAGAAAAACTTCAAGAGAGCGCTCCCTTTTATTAAATATTAATTTATTTTTTTTAACTTATATTTTTTATATTTCTCTTTAAATCCGTAAAAGGAACCACCAAATTCTTTGCTCTCGCTATATTGAAGTTTTTTTCGGTAAGCACATGTTATGTTACTGCCACGTCAGATGCCGTTTAGTTTTACTTTACCTACCAATTTCGAAACTAAGGGCCGTTTATTTTTTACTAGTTCATTTCCTTATTTTTATAAGTTTTAAATGAGTAATTTTTCCGTAATTTTACTCAATCTAAATTTCTTAAAAAGTAATATCTTAATATTTTGAATCCGATGTAACAACAAAAAAATTTATTCCCAATTTTAATTGTTGATTTTTATTTATTTGATGGTTTTAATTTATTAATTAATTATCAATATAGAGATCAAATCAATACATTTTTGTTTTTGTTTTTTTTTTTTTTTGTAAATAATACCTTTTTGTTTTTACTTACTTAGCTTTCTTACTAATAACTGAGCTATCATCATTTGATATTTTATTATTTTGTAGAAATTGTTTAATAAGAGAATAACCTCTTGAACATTTGTTTGCGGTGCTTATTTTACTATAAAATTATTATTTTCTGAATCTGTACTTTTGAAAGGTATTCCTTCAATCTGTTTGTATTTTATCAATTGTAAAGAGTTATTTTCTTTGTACTAAAAAAAAATTATTTTCTTCTTTGTACATTATATTGCAAATGTTACCAACACCTAACCTCAAAAAAAAAAAAAATTATATATATATTTTTTCTTTAGATAAATTAAGTATAAATTTTTAAATAATGAAAAAATAAAATTTCCAAGATCTAAAACAAGTTAGTAAAAGGGGATTTCCTTAATTCAGTGTCAGGTTTGTTATTATTGAAATATTAATATAATTCATTCAAAACTAAATAAAAAGAAAGACAAACTAGTAAAATAATTATATTATTATTTTTTATTTTAATTAAAAATTCCAAAACTTCTTACACAGAAGAGTCATAGTCTTGTTTTAAATTACGCCGAAATTATTATCATACATAACTTTAAAAGAAAAAAAATTTGTCATTTTAAATGACACATCTTATATTTTTTTACTCTAACAAAAGGTGTGATTCATATATTTAAAAGTTTTCTCACTCATTCTTTCTCTGATGATTTATCTCTTTCTACAAATTTGTGTTCTCCAAAATGATACACAGTTTTTCAACTTTAAAACCATTAAATTATTTTTGTTTTGAATAATTAAATATAACTCTTCCAATAAATTAAAAGAAATGAACATAGACACGTTGAAAAATAATAGCGTTTTTAATTATAAATTCACAAATAAAACTCTGTGAGTGCGTGTTGGTGAAACTTGAATCTTTGTATTATATGGTACATAAGAAACAGGATGAGAGGAAATTATGCAGGAAGATAAAGAATGTGATCAATTTCAATTCAAAATCCTCTGAAATACTTTTCTATAATCCTTTGTTCTGCACTGTCTTTTTTATTTTTATGTTTATTTTTGGTCAAAGCCGCAACAAAATAACTGGTGAGTTTCGGAATTCTCTCACGTTCTCATTCTCTTGCATATTTTTTGTTTTAATTTAATGTTTTGTTCTGGATTCACTTCATCTGTTAATTGCTGTCGTTTCATTCAAGATCGGTAAAGCTCTGTCGTTTCGGTTGGTCCTGTCGTGTGCCTGCGTGCGTGCGTGCGTGCATTGCGATTCATCAGAAGTAATGGATGCTAAAGCTGCTCAGAGGTTACAAGTTTCGGGTTTGGTTCGACCCGAAAAGATTGGGAGAAGACCCAGTTGTTACTTGGGTCTGTCTCGGGAACCGCAGAAGCTTCGGGTTTTTGTTTCGGTCAAGTTGCTCCATGCAAGGCCTTCAACGATTCGGCGCAGGATAGCCCCTTTGGAGGTTGCTTGTTCTTATGACAACATTTCAGGTTTCTATAAAAACCAATTACCCTTTACGATTTTTGTTTTGTTTGCTTTTTCCATGTGGCGAATATGTGTTGTTTCTGATTTATTGAGTGTCAATTAATTGACCCAATCAATATCTTTGTTTCAAAAGGGTGTTGCTGGAATTCTTGATTTTCCAGCTTTGGATTTCTACTAGCTTTTTTATTGTTAGATTGTCATTTTTGTTTTTTGGTTCCGTCTTTCAAACAAAAAGAATGATTACTAATTACGGTAAGAAGGTATAATGAATCATACTTGTAAATTGTCAATTAATTGGGATAAAAAATCCGTGGTAGTTAGTTGTGTGAAAAATTGCAAATCTTCCCCAAAAGGTACCTTCCCGTTTGTTGTTTTATCCATTCCATTATTTTTCCAAGTGAATTGTATACACAAACATAGGTTTTCCTAAGGTTTTGTTTTTTCTTAATGTGATTAATGAGAGGATAATACTAATCTTATCGCCAGCTGGACCTTATGGAGCAGTTTCTATCAAAGTGAACCTGATATAACTACAATTATCCAATTTTAAGCTAGCTTTTTCATCTGCAGCTTGAATTACATTTCCTTCTATTGGTTAGTTGAAAAAATTAACTTACCACATCTTTTAAGGAGAAGAACAGAAGATGCAGCATGTATATATGTCTGCATTGCATCTAGTTTGTTACTGACTAAAATAAGTGCTGCCCATTTTGAATGTTTACACTTTATTTCTAATGTTACTCTTGTAGCTTCTATATTGGAATCTGGAAGCTGTCATGCTCCTGTTGATGAAGAGTTGATTCTGAAGGTAAAGCATAATGCCGTTTCTCGTTTTTAATTAATTTAAGCCAATCCAGTCTTGGGATGTTATATATCTTCTATTATAATAAGCAAAAGCATCAAGAAATAGTAATCTTAGCTCAGTTTGTTGCTTGTCCGAGCATCTATATGACATTATCTCACTTGAATCAATAAAATTGCAGAATAGATCACAAGAGATCAAGCCATATTTAAATGGACGCTGTATATATCTTGTTGGTATGTTTCTTGGTTGACGTCTTGTGCTTACATGCTATGCTTTGCAAGTATGATTACTTTGTCATTCAAAATACTTTAAATTTGACATGCAGGAATGATGGGCTCTGGGAAGACAACTGTCGGGAAGATTATGTCGCAAGTGCTTGATTATTCATTTTGTGATAGGTTAATATGTTAATTGCTTGTCTTCTTTTCATAGGGAAAAATTAAGTTTCCTAAAGTAAATCAAGCATCATTTGGATACCCTATAGACTAGTAGAATGCAGAAAGAACTATCTTTGGCCACAAAGCAAGTCTATAATTTTTGTTTGATAATTTCATTATATTTAGTATGTGATATGAGCTTCAATTGGTGTTCATATTCAATTGATATTAGAGGGATCTAATGACATGCAAAGATGCATATTTATGTGACTGTATCCAATAAATGAAAACCGGGTGGGTCTCGATTATCCTGTGGAATATGGTCTAACTCTGGTGTACAAGATTTGTGTTCACATTCTTATATAGCAGTATACATGTTTGTCTATGACAATACAATTACTCAATATCATGGCCACATTAGAGGTCTTGCTGACTATTTTCTATATTTTCTGGCACTTATGGGTGTTTTAGTGATGCATTGGTGGAGGAAGAGGTTGGTGGCAGCTCTGTAGCTGATATATTCAAGCACTATGGAGAAGCTTTCTTTCGTGATAAGGAGGTAGTTGGAAGGAACTATGTTTTCAGTTTTCATATTCTTCAATGTTTAGAGAATATTTGTTAAGTTATTTTTAACTTTTACATTCTCCTGTTTCTTTAATCACATCGAGTGCCCTCATTTTCATCTATCTTTATATTATAAACTGCGCCACAGAGATGGGAGATTAATGTGTTCTGAAGTACCAATTAACGATGGTATCTTCGTAGTGTTATAATAGGCAGGATAGTATAGAATATAAAATTAAATAGAAAACAAATTAAAATAAACATTTTCTAGTATGTGCAACTGACATCAGTGACTTCTTTCAAGTCAACAGAATGTCTGTCCCACATTTTAGGCTCTTTTTTTGACATGGAGGAAGAACATTGCTCCAAGCAGTTTGGATTTCTGCTAGTAAGTTGATTGAGTTTGGTTTGTAGAGAAAACATATGAACAACAAAGTAAAGAGCGTGAGTCCTATACTGGTTAATTGTAAGGCATAAAACTCTCCTCTCTTATCAGTCTGGCTTTTAGGAGTGAGTTTTTCTCTACATTAAGTGGTATCAGAGCCTGGTTTGTCCACCCCTTGGTGTGGATGAACTGCTATTTCCAACTCGATGGGCTTGACACTGGAGCATGAGTCTCATATCAGCTGGGTGTGAGACACATATTCCCAATTTATAGTGGAGGACTGGAGGCTTTCACTTGTTATCAGTCTGGCTTTTAGGTGTGGGTGTGGGTTTTGTTCTAACTCTGCTTGAAATAACATTATAATAGTGTCATTCCCTAAAACAAATCCTTCTTTCTGAAAAAGTAGTTAAGGAACAGTTGCTGGTTGTAGTTCACTGACCATTGTCATAATAGCCCATAATGTGTCAAGTAATCATTATCAATGTCTTTGTTTGACGGCCAGGCAGCATTCCTTTTGGTTAGGGGCCACTGGCATGCCATGAGCTCCCACATGGCCACATTTTCATCAAGATATAGTCTAATTCCAGCTCTCCTAACAAACATGTGTTATTCTTTAAGTTCTAGTGGTCCCAAGCAATATGCCGGATCATTTGATGTAAGCTTAAGTTAAAACTTTGGTTCTTCAGTTAAATAATTTGTTTTAACTTATAAGGTTCTAGAATATCAACATCAGCATCACCTTTATCCCAAACTATTTGGGCTGGGGTCGATGATCCTACATAAAAGTAAGAACAGATTGTGGAAAAAGAAATACACAAGAAAGAAAAACTTAAAATTAAAGATAAAAACAGAAATAAAAATAAATAATAAATAATGAAGCACAGGGAAAAAGGACTAAAAAATAGATGGCTTGTATCTGATTATGACATTTGCTAACAAGCCAGTACAGTATCTCCCAAATTCTATTCTTCTGTTCCACTATAAAGACACTTAGGTTGGTTTTCCTCTGTGGTTCTGTTATCACATTCATCGTTCATTTTCCTTGCTTATTTATCGTTTCAGACTGAGGCATTGCATAAGCTGTCCCTGATGCATAGACTCGTTATTTCTACTGGTGGAGGTGCTGTTACGAGGCCCATCAATTGGTATAAGAATTAACATACTAATGAGAAAAGTTTAGGCTTCACATTTTATGATTAACTCTTTCCTCATCTTTACATGGACTTGTATGTGGTTGTATTGCCAGGAAGTATATGCACAAGGGGGTCAGTGTTTGGTTGGACGTACCAGTGGAAGCCTTGGCACAGAGAATTGCAGCTGTAGGAACTAATTCTCGTCCCCTTTTACATTATGAAGCAGGGGATGCATTCACACGGGTAAATTATTTCTCTTCCATAGTAGTAGTATTTTTCTTTGCTAAAGATAAGACATTAAGAATTTAAGTCACCAAGTGGGAGCAACTTATTATAATAGGAATTTGCATCAAAATTATGTTTCCACTAAATAACTTGACTCTTTGGAATTCACATGCAGACTTTCATGCGTTTGTCTGCTCTTTTTGAAGAGAGAAGTGAAGCATATGCCAATGCCAATGCCAGGGTCTCATTAGAAAGTATGTCTATAAATTTTATTTTTTTTCTTTTTTCATTTGAAATAAAATTGTGGATTTATCCAGAAACTGGGGGAAAAAAATCAAGAAAAGGCTTTGCATTTATTTATAATCTCGTGGTGTGACATCTGGAGCTTGATATTTTGTGTCTTAGTGTTCTGAACCAATTAGTATTTCAAGATTGCCCAAAAACAAAGCATTTAAGATTCATGTCACAAATAGAAGATCTCCAATCCTCCACCAAAAAAGGGAAGATCTTGTTGCGTTACAATCTTTTGTGAAGGGCACATAGTATTCCTTCGTGTTTGTATGCTTCCTAGGTGATAACAATAAAAATGCAATTTCTAATGCTGTTCTGTTGTTTTGTGCAGATATAGCAGAAAAACTGGGCCTAAGAGATGTGTCCGACTTGTCTCCAACTGATATTGCAATTGAGGTCTTCTGTCTTCAGCATTTTCTTGCCCATGCCCTTCTAACTCTTTTTCAGTTTGTTTGATCTGGGCAAACTGAAATGTTCCTGGGGGCTAAAGTTGAATCTAAATTTTGTATCGTTGATGCTTATCTATTTTGTTCCTTTGTATCTTGCAGGCGCTAGAACAAATTCACATCTTTTTGAAGGATGAAGATAGCTATAAAGCTGGATGCTAGTAGAAACTGTGGACAAAATCACGTTTTGATTGTTTTTATTTTTCTCTTTAATTTGCAATTTGCAATTAAGGTCATGCTGTTGTGCAGTGTCTTTTTGACTGGAAAAAGAAAGAAGTAATGCAACATGGCACCTGTTTATGCATAATTTGTAGTCGCAATTTAGCATAATCTGGCAGCTAATAGTATAAGTTTTTTAATTTATACGTTTTGTTTATTGTTGATGTATATAAACTGGGAGACGAGGTGTTTATTGTAAACTTGTGATACGAGTTTGGTTGAGCAATGTTATGTATGCCTTCCTCTAAGAGGTTTGTATGTTGTAAAGTGACACTAGTTTATTGTGAAATAAAATAAAATTCATCTGAGCAATTTTAACATTCTTCTTTCTTCATCAGCTTCTAAATCTAAAAATTATTTCCTATTATTGCTATCCTTTCCAATTCTACTTACTAATTATATATTAATAGTGGAACAAAACGATAGTTGATTTTTTAAAACGATGTGTCAAAAAGAAATATATAATTCATATGAATACGACATCAAAGCAAAAGCACTTGTTAAGAAGAAGATTAGAGAAAAAAGAATTTTGTTAGCCCCAATTGACCAAGCTGGCTTGTATTTTATTTTAAATCAAACATGACCTAATTCATTTTAATTGAACTCATTTCAGTTTAAAATTTGTACAAAATATTTGTCTTGATGTGTAGAATATTATAACAATTTATAATCAGATTCATTGATTTTTTAAATACCTATTATTTAAATTAAAAAACAATTATACCATACATCATTTAAATATGGTCTCGAAATCGCCAGAGTCAACTAGAGCCTTTATTTGGCAGATGCAATCATGCAAATAAAAAAAAACATTCGAGGCCTTAGTTAAAAGGACAAGGGTGATCCTATAGAAAGCTTGAGTTCTCAACACTTGGGGCCTGTTTGATCAGTGTTTTACAAAACAGTTTTTTTTCGGATTTATGACTTTTCATTTGCCTTCACCAACACCAAAGTTGAGATGGCCGAGTTGGTCTAAGGCGCCAGATTAAGGTTCTGGTCCGAAAGGGCGTGGGTTCAAATCCCACTCTCAACATTCTTAAAGTTTTTAATTTTTTTTCCTTCTTGGTCCTACCAAGCCTTATATTCTTATCTGCTCTAAGCTTCAGCGTCCAATAATGTGACAACAATTAGAAGAGGGCAGATAGCAAAGGGATAATGTGGATTTCAAGCATGGCTTATTCATCTCTGCCCAAACCATCATATTATTATCATAATTTCCATTATCACCACCGAACATGCTTCAACATCAATCTCCCAAAATGGACAACTAGAGCTTCCTCTGCTGCCCCAGGTGTAGACCTCAACTCTCTCCAATCTGCCATTACCAAGGTCTCTTTTTATTTATTTATTTTCTTTATTCTAAATATTAAGGACACTTTCTGATTTCTTATTTGACACATACCATGATTAAAAAAGGACCAAAAACCAGTGTCTGTGTTAGTTATTTAGTTAGTTACCTACTGAATAATGTAACAGAGAAGATAAAAAAAAAATCTTTATATCAACTGAATATGAAAAAGTATTCACATTGGAGTAATATGATAGTAATTTACTTCTTTAGCTTTGGTGCTGCAACTATTGATGTAAATGATATCTGTGCAGAAAGACAGTAATGCTGTTAAAGTGGCCCTTGATCAGCTAAGTGAAGTTGGTTGGGCAAAGAAATGGAGTTCTCAACCATATGTTTCACGTCGTACGGTCAGTGTCCATTACAACTTACAAGTGTGAAGTTCTGGGAAAGTGCCACCTAAACATTAAGCTCATCAACCAACTATAGCATTCATGGACATAGATAGCATCATCATGTATACCTGTCCAATGCTTCCACTTCTTATTCATATGTAAGCTTCATCATTCATACAAGTTTTGACTTTTCAAAATTTGTGCACCAGACATCACTTCGGGAGCTGACAACTCTAGGAATTAAGAACGCAGAGAACCTTGCAATCCCTAGTGTCAGAAATGATGTGAGTTTCACAAATCCTTTTTTTTTTTTTTTGGGAGTCTCAAAAGGAATGAGAAGTACTTTTTAGTCTGTAACTTTTAAATTTTTTAGCACCAACTAATGTCAGAGTACAGACTTTGATCTTGAGAACATAACATTTGAATTCCTTTTATACATTCTTGAAATATGAGTTTTTTTATTTAATTTTTTCCAAGTTCAACAAGTAACATAAATCTTTGATGGTGCAGGCAGCTTTTCTTTTTACTGTGGTAGGAACAACTGGATTTTTGGCTGTTCTGGCTGGCCAGCTTCCTGGGGTATCCCTAGCACACTTCTGTTTTGCTCTGTATGTCTGTTTAATGATCTCATAAACTGTTTTCAGAAGTATGATGAAGTCCTATAGTGTTGAAGCAGCACTTGTAAATGCGGATATGGCACCTTATTTTGCTTGTAGACTTGTAGTTTGTTCCCACAAAAATAATCTGAATTATTGAAGAAGTGCTAATATGGTTGGAGGTTCAAGTAGATTATATTTATGGATTATTACTGCTGTCTCGGTAATAAGAGTTAAGAACAGCCATAGTAGAAGATTTAGCAACTCTTTCCTTTTCTACATGCATCATGATCTTACTATACATATTATATTCTACTTCATTTGAACAATTTTTATTTATGCTTTTTGTGGTTTAAAACTGTCTCCTCTTCAAAGTTGATAAGGTCATGCATTTAGTTTATGAGTTTATGGTATTAAGAAGCTTAAGGTTGTTCTTGGTTGAGTAGTAGGAAAGTGAAAATTTTGGAACGAAAATCCTTTTAGTCTTTTACACTTGCTTGGTATCCCTAAAAAAACATCTAGAAAGTGGAAGATAACTTTGGTTGAAAATAATATTCTCTCCTTATATTTTTCACCTTCCCTAATTTTCATCTCTGACTAATGCTTGCCGACTCTTGTAGGATTGGGGGTTCTTTGTACCATACTTGGTTGGGAGTATTTCCTTAGTGGTTTTGGCTGTGGGTAGCATATCCCCCGGGTAAGAATTTGATTCAACACGTAGCAGTGAATTCCCTCTTCAGCGTTTGCTTTAGTCTTGATGCTCTAATATGCTACTGTAGACTTCTCCAAGCAGCTATTAGCAGCTTTTCATCAGTTTTCCCTGATTATCAAGAGAGGATTGCCAGACATGAAGCAGCGCACTTTTTGAGTACTGTCTTTTTTTTTTTGGCGGATTTATATACACAAACCATCAGATATGTGACTTTTCATCATTTACTGTTAGTTTATGTTTGGTCTTTCGTTCATTCCAGTTGCTTACCTGCTTGGCGTACCCATTTTGGGCTATTCGCTGGATATTGGGAAAGAGCATGTCAATCTCATTGATGAGAGGCTTGAAAAGCTTATCTATAGCGGTCAGCTTGATGCTAAAGAACTAGACAAGTATTTACCAAGCACTAGCAGCTTTAATTACTCTTATTCAATGTTGAAATGTCTACTTATAATTTTTTTTAAAACCAAGTACCAAGATGCATAAGATTTGAAAAAACGAACTTTAGCAACTACAAGAGTTACTGTGAAGAAGAGATAGGTATAGTTGTAATTGCCTTTTTTATTTTTTATTTTCAGATTGGCTGTTGTGTCAATGGCTGGATTGGCAGCAGAAGGCTTAACATATGACAAGGTGGTTGGTCAATCTGCTGATCTTTTCACTCTCCAGGTTTGAGATCTCTATTTTTATAAGATGTGGATATTATACTACTCACAATTATCTGAAATAATAATAGTAAAAAAAACAAAAAAATTATTTTCCTACAGAGATTTATAAACAGAACCAAGCCACAACTCAGCAAAGATCAGCAACAAAATCTCACTAGATGGGCCGTACGTTCTTCTAACACTACAGCTATGCACAAAAAATGTATCCCCAAATTTTATGTACTTTTTTAATCACGACAAGCTTAATTTTGCAGGTTTTGTTCGCTGCCTCGCTCTTGAAAAATAACAAGGTGATTCATGAAGCCTTAATGGCATCAATGGAAAAGAAAGCAAGCGTGCTGGAGTGCATTCAAACAATCGAAACTGCAGCATAATTCAGCAATTAAACTGTTATAAGCTATGACATACAAACTCTTATACAATTTTTAATCTTTTTCTTGTTCATAAAAATGCACTATTATTGTTATCAAAAAAAAAATAAAAAATGCACGATTATAAGTTTCTTATTAGTATTTCAACTTTCCATTAATTTTTTTGACATAATCCATTGGTATTTGATACACATATAATATTTGCAAGAAATGCGAGATAAACATATAAGGATTACAACTATGTCTATGATTTTTACACACAATAAGAATGATAGTGCGTGGTGCATGCATGATCAGAGTTCATCAGACCAATCACTAGGCTCGCTTTCATAGAACAAACCATCAACGATTTGGTCAATTACGGAATCGATGAATGCGTTGTAGCTAACAGTGAAGATTCGACCAACTCTGTTTCGGGCACTGGAAAACCAAGCAAAGAGTGCAGCGCAAGTTACCGCACCCAAACACACCCCACCCGCTTCCGTTATTCCTGCAACATCCATCTTCCTGAACACAGAGCTTCCCGTCACCATTTCCATCGTCACCGTCGCTGCAAACACCATCTGCAACAAAATTCCCAATATAATTTCAACTTAATATATCAAATTCAAATTGAAGAAAAAACTTGCTTGAATAGTATTAGGGTTATGGTTTTAGTTTTAGTTACCATAGCGAGACGACCAGAGATGATCTCGAAATCGTGACTTTTCTTGGAGCTCTCGATGTACTCAGAAAGAGTGGCGAAGAAGGAGGACACGTCATCGCTACCTTGCTTCCGAGTCTTCATCACCCCTATTCTATCTGAACCGTACGATCTTAGAGTACACAACCGCGGCTGCAGAAGGATGTTAGTGTTAGTGGCTTCTCCCTCCGCCGGTTTGGGTTTCGGGATCGAGACCTGAACCGGACCGGACTTTTCTCTCGGCCGAGCCGTTGGTCTGGCCGATCGCAGCTCGCAGTGTGCCACGCGCATCGCAGACGCCATGAGACAGAGGGAGGGGATTTTGGTGAGATTTTAAGAATGAGGAGAGCGCTACGGCGAAGAGTGGTGCTTTGAACCTCTAGGATTTGATCGTACGAGTATGGTTACGTGTCAATTGTTTTGGTGGGTGACGTGGTTTTGAGAGATGAGAACGCTTGTCACTGGTGATGAGTGGTGAGTGGTGAGTGGTGAAGAGGTTGGGTAAGTGGGGTCATGGAAGCGTGAATGATTTCAATTTTCAAAGAGAGTCGTCAAAATGGAAGCGAGAACGCTTGATATATAAGACTACAATAATACTCTGCATTCTTCCAAAAACAAAAAACAAAAAAGTACTCAGCATTGTTGTTTTGTCATTCTAAATCACATAAGTTATGTTATTTTAAAAGAGAGATAGACACAGAAAATAAAAATTATTGAGAGAGAGAAAGTAAGTGATTTTTTTTTAATTTAAAATTTAAATAAAAAAATTTATTCTGTATCTATCTCTCTCTTAAAATAACGTAACTTTATGTCTGTTGAATATCATAGATACAAGAGGAAATGATAGTAATCTTTGTTGTATTAAACTACACAACATTGGTGCTATTATATAGCAAACCAATTGAAGAATACAAAGAGACACACTCAATGTGAGACTTCTACACTATTAACACTAACACTCTTAACACTCCCCCTCAAGCTGTAGCATATAGATCATATGCTACAAGCTTGATACATAAATAATACTCTCATTAGGAACCAAAAACAACAATGCTACATCAACGAAATGAAATGACTAAGTACAACAAATCAACTGGAATGACCATCAGGCTGAAGAGCTGATAAAGAGACAGTGCTGGAATGGACATCAGAGCATGGATGGTGCCGGAATTATCATCGGCAAAGACAACTGAGCTGACCAGGACATCAGCATCAAGATCTCTCTCAGACATTTCATTTAACAGTTGGTGAGTAGATGTGGTTTCCCCTTGACTATGCTACAAGCTTATTACAAGAAAGACCAAGTAACGTAACATCAAAATAAATCTCCTAAATGAGAAACCAAAAATCAACAATGTGCTAAAAATAGCGTCGAAATGAACATCAACATGGAAGATGCCGGAATGATCATCGGCAAAGACAATTGTGCTGGAATGACTATCAGCAACATGGACGGCGATCCCCATCAAGAGGAACTTCTAAACAGTGCCAGTATAATCATCGGCAAAGACAATTGTGCTGGAATGACCATCAGCAATATGGACGGTGCTCCCCCTCAAGAGGAACTTCTAAACAGTGCCGGAATTATCATCGGCAAAGACAATTGTGCTGGAATGACCATCAGCAACATGGACAGTGCTCCCCCTCAAGAGGAACTTCTAAACAGTGCCGGAATTATCATCGGCAAAGACAATTGTGCTGGAATGACCATCAGCAACATGGACAGTGCTCCCCCTCAAGAGGAACTTCGGTGTCGGAATTAACATCAGCGGAGACAACATCAGCAACTTGGACAGTGCTCCCCTCAAGATAGATGATGAATAGTATAAATACTCCATCTTGGGAAGAAAGAAGATTAAAGAAAAACAAAGCTTCGCGGAATCGGAAAAGTCGCCGGAGACAGCGGTGGGTCGTCAGAAAAGTCGTCGGAGACAGTGGTGGATCGCCGGAAAAGTCGCCGGAAAGTCATCGAAAAAGTCACCGGAGACGGCTGTCAACGGTGGACGACGCGGTCAACGGTGGTCGATCAACGACAACGGTGGTCAACCCAACAACTTCCCGAAGATCATTCTTTTCTGATATGACAGACCAGTCTAAGCTGCAGTCACAGAGCATACTAAGAAAAACCCGAAAAAAAAATAGCAACGGAAATCCCTCAAGGAGGGTGATATCTCTCTATAACCATATTGAAAATATGGAAAATAGAACTAAGTTAAATGGATTAAGATTCCTCTTGTTAGGCTCTAGATACCATGTTAAATATCATAGAGACAAGAGAAAATCATAGTAATCCTTGTTATATTAAACTACACAACACTGGTGTTATTATATAGCAAACCAATTGAAGAATACAAAGAGACACACTCAATGTGGGACTTCTACATTATTAACACTAACACTCTTAACAATGTCATTTAAAATGACAAACACTTTTTCTTTTGAAGTTTTTTTTAATACATGAAGAGGACCTAACCTAGTAAAAATAGAAAAATTAAATACAAATAATTAAAAGAATAGATAAAATATGAGATAAATCTAAAGAATACGGGTGAAACAATTTCATGAGCGTTTTGCAATGAACAGTATCGCTATCTCATGAGATAACTGCTGCATTCGTCAATTAATTTACATTAGAATTGTTTTCCCTTAACGTGAAACGAGCTTTAATTGTTCAGTCTTTAGAGACCCAAGTCAAAAGTGTGGTCAATAAATGTGATCGTTTGAGACATCACCATAAGTGGTGATCAGAAAAATTAACTCAAGACAATCTCTCCTTTCAAGATTAGTTTTTGACATCATAAGGGCCAAACCAATTCTAGTCCCTTTAATACGTTGTACATCTCAACCATCTCAACTTCCAACGGACTATAATCTCAAAAAACTAGTTTCCCCACTAAGCCATTCACCTTTATCCCAATGAATTAGCATTCCACAACCAGCTTTTCTATCTACAATCTTGACTGCCCCATCAAAGTTAACTTTGATCCATCCAAACTCACGAGTCCACCAAATAGTAAACGCACTCTCCCTGTCGTTTATGTTAACAGTATTAGTGACCAAATAGGAATGAGCTGCATTGATATCATTGATATATGCAGTATGTAGATAGCCTTAAATATATTATAAAATATTTTTAATTAAAAAGATATGCATGGCTAATTTAAAAATTGAAATGTAAAATGTAAATGAATATAAAATAATAATCATATGTTATTTAAAGAATGAAATAAAAATTAAGCCATTATATATATATATATATGGGTTTAGTCAATGTACAGTGACTAAATGTAAAATTCGATCCAGTGCACTAAGTTCTCTCGCGAGAACACAATTATAGTAAATCTCTCGGGAGAACACCTGAAGAACACCATTATAATATTTATTGCACTAAATTCTCACGAGAAAACTTAATACACTGGACGGTCCAGTGACTAAATTTTTAATTTTTCCTATATATATATATATATATATATATATATATGAAAAAATTATATTTACAAACTATATTATGTACTGGGGGTAGTACATTCCCGCACATAATGTGCTTCCCTAGTACATTTTATAGTTTATAAAAAATAAATTGTAAATATAATCATCCTCATATAATTAAGCCATATATATATATATACACACACGAAATATAAGAATTATGTTGCAGAAATGGTATTGTTTATTTCCATGTACTTTCGGGAGTACATAGTTGAAAAAAGTAACTTTAATATTATAAATATGTACTCCCAGAAATACGTAGTTAAAAATGAATTGCAGGATGTCCTGTAACAGGACATTCGATGCACCATATACAAGTCAGGATACTTTGACAGCAAATCTTAATATCATTGATTTTATGATTTTATCCAATCTAACAATTATAAATCAATGATCCTCATATACTTTTATATATGTATAGGAGATAAAATCATCTCAAAATATGAGAAACACTAATCCCAATTTTGTCTCATGGCCACAACCTTTTTACGAAAACATCTTTAGTACCGAGGATGTACCTATCACTCGGTACATCTTTTATCAAATATAAAAAAATTAATATATTTACATTATCTTTATTTTTATGGTTATTTTCTTCCATAATTTTTTTTCCTTTTTAATAAAGATGTCGTTGTAATGGAAATTTGTTCACTTTTTACACCTCGAGTCTTTCCGTAAATTTCAAAGTTGGGGTGTGAAAGCCAACCTCATGAGCCGATTCGATCCATGAACTAAATCAAATCATAATATAGATTAAAAGTTTTTTTTAAACAAATTTAAGAACTAAATTGCTTTATCAGTTTGGGTTAGTTCATGGGAGAAATTCAAACCAAATCGTATTCAATTTTAAAAGTGTGAAAAAAATTATATAAACCAAATTAAAATGAAATGTATCATAAATAATTATATTTTTTGAATTAGTTTAAGAACTAAACTATTTTCTCTGAATCATTTTTCAAAATTGATTTGATTTAGTTTGACATAAAAAATTAAATTGAATAAAGCCAAACAATATCCGTCCCTGCTTCAAATAAATGAGTACTAAAAGTATAAAAACGCTGAATAATAATGTGATTGTCCTTGAATTCATGATCACCATTACTTGTTCATCTTCATTCACAAATTGGCCCTAAATGGTCCTCTGATCTGGTTCAAAGTGATGGACGCATAAATTCAATTACATCAATTCTCATTTTTTTGTTATTTTCTTAGACGATATTATAGGCTGCTGCCCCATCGGCAACTAATATTGATTAAGGGATTAATGTTTCTAATATTATACACGGTAATTTTATTTTTTATACATATATAAAAATGTGCGAGTCTCATATTTTATTTTTCTATCTCTTCTATTCATATGGACTATATATATTTTTATGTATGTATAAAAGATAAAAAGTTTCTCTTGCAACATGAGAAATGTTAACTCATTGTTTAATGGGTTCGCTTTTTCTGAAGTTACTGCAGATAACTTATCTGCAGTAAGCCAATACGACGTCGTTTTGGGACGAAAATCATAGTGTATTTGTAATTTTAATTTATTTCAGGGTTATAATAGTCTTTATATTTGTAATTTTTTAAAATTTCAATATCAAAACGACGTCGTTTTGGGAATAAATGCAGATAACTTATCTGCATTAATTGCAGAAACATTTTTCCCTTGTTTAATATGTTAAATTTAAGGGTTTTATTAATCTCATGTTAAAGGAGATAAGTTATCTCATATTATAGAGATACACTTGTGGGCTCCACTACCTGAAAAATAAAAAAATAAAAGAGAAAAAAGTGACACAGTTATCGAAGGATGTGTAAGAGATAAATTTATCACACGTAGCATAAGAGTAGTTTTTTTTTTAAATTTAATTGAAAAAACGTTAACA